CCGTAACCCTGTCTTTCATGAACGCACCAAACATGTTGAAATTGATTTTTATTTTGTTCACGAACGTGTGGCCAACAGGGATATAAAACCATGTTATATTCCTACCGCCGATCAAATTGCAGACATTTTCACCAAAGTTCTCGGTGCTGATCATTTTCAGAATCTTCGTAGCAAGTTGGGTGTTCGGAATCTTCACACTCCAACTTGAGGGGGAGTATTGAGTTTTATATTTACCATCTCTATTATTGAGTTTTATATTTACTATTTATATTAAAATCCGTATGTACAACCAAATATTGGGACCCATACCCATGCACCCATCTAGCCTATATAAGCAAGCCTTCTTCCATTGTAAGTGTATTACAATACACATATGTAGTAAGCAATATTTCCTGCAAACTCTCATCCATCAAATAACGAAGTTGATGAGATTTGTTAAATCCTTGTTTTGTATTATCATTTCTATCACTTTCAGGCGTCTCATTCTACTTCTTCATCATCTTCTTATGGCTCATTGACCTCAATTCCGAAGAACTAGTTAATAGTGATATCAAACATTTGAATCTCCTTTTGGTTAACTACGGAAGAGATGGTGTCAACAACATCAAGTAGGTCATAATGCTCATAGGGATGAGCAACTACTTTATCTAACTCAGATGCTTGCATTCCCTTCACTGTCCTTTTCATTTGGTTGACAACTTCTGCCAGTTCAGGGAGGGCAACCAGGTCATTCAGAAAATCTTCTTTGTTCATCTGTAGAGAATGCAGAAATGTCATAAGCACCTAGAGGGGCCATTGCTGAAGGTTGAGGAGTTTTGGGTAAGCTTGGGAGTTTTTAGGGAGAGTGATTGGCGAGTGCTTGAGAATTAAAAGAGCTTAAAATTTGAAATGATGATGAAATGGTATATATGGGGTTGGGTGGGAAACATGTCAACTTAAAATTTCATTTCCAAGGTTTGTATTAATTTGGAGGCGACTTGAAACATAATACAACTGTAATAACTTCCAGGGGTATTGAAGTCAAACACCCACTTAAGTAAAATTTGTAGGTCAAACCATAGATTATCATATATTTGTAAGTCCATGAACTTCTGGTAATATAGAAATGCACCCAATCTGATATAACTGATTTGCATCCAAATCTGGTGTCATGCAACTCTGGTCTCAGCTCTGTTGAATTTCAACTCTTTATTCCTTCTCCCTTTTCTGGTTCTGCTTGTTTGTTTCTTACCCTCCATCCTTGTTGGATCCAAACAACTTGTTGGTCCCACATAGCGAGTAACATTAGTTGGTTTCGGCTAAGGATTTTGCCTTTCGGTGACCACTAACTTTTCTGGTGTTAGTGTTCTCTGGGTGAATCATCCATCATTCCAAGTTTTTCCTTAGATTGTTGGATTTAGTTTCACTGAGATGTTTGGTGAGGGTATCTGCAAGTTGATCTTCTTTAGACACATGTTTCATGTATATATTCTTCTTCTCCACATGATCTCTGATTAAGTGATATCTAATCTCGATGTGCTTGGTTCAGCAATGGATCACATGTTTTGGGTGATGACAATGACACTAGTGTTCTCATATATTAGCTTGATTTCATTTTCTTGAATCTCATAATCTCTGCGTCATTTCTTCATCTAGAGAAATTGTGCGCAATAACTTCTTGCAATAATATATTCAGCTTCTCCCGTGCTAGTGGAATTGAATTTTTCTTCTTCCAAAACCATGACATTTTCCTGCCTCCAAACAATTGGCAACGAGCAGATATGCCTTTTCTGTGTAATCCGCATCCCACAAAATCTGAATTAGAGTAACCAATTAGTTCAATAGAGAATTAGAGTGACCATAGGCTTGCATTTGGATTTCATTTAATGTATCTAATGATTCTATTTACAGCAATGAGGTGACTCACCTTGGGATTTGACTGATCTATGGCACATATTCCTATAGAGAATGCAACATCTTGTCTACTTACAGTCAGATACAGAAGTGATATAATGATCCCTTTGTACATTGTTGGATCAAACTCTTGTCCTTTATCATCTGGTTCAATTGTTCAAGATGTGTTAATGAGGACTTCAACTCCAAAATTAATCTTGATCAAGTCTCTAGTATACTTTCATTGTTTGATGAAGATTCCTTTTAGAAATTGCTTCACTAGGAAGTAGCCCAGATTTCTCATCATGCTCATCTCAAATTAACATTGAACAACTTTTGAGAATCTCTTACACAAATCTACATTAATACTTCCAAAGATAGTATCATAACCATAAATTTGCACTGGCAGAATGCATTGTTCAATACTCGCTAGGCATTGGGTGGGCGGTTGAGGGGTACCTAGTGCTTAGGCGGCTGACTAGATTGTTTTTTAGAACAGAGGCAGAATATGATCTCCAACAGAGATCTGAAAAGAGGTTTTTGTCAACCTTCTTTTTGGCAATCCCATGGTTCACCAGGAACAAGGATAGTGTTCCGTACCATGCTTTAGGAACTAGCTTAAAGTCATAAAGAACCTTTCTAAGCTGTAGACACACGAAGACTGAGTTGGAATGACAAAACGTGGAGGTTGTTTAACATAAACGTGGAGGTTGTTTAACATAATGCATTCCTAACATCGATCTGGTACACTTTGATGTCATTGTAGGCATCATAGGCAAGGAAGATTCCGATAGCATCAAATCTGAAAATCGGTGTAAAGGTCTCATCAAAATCAATTCCTTCCATTTGGTAGCACCCTTTTGACACAAATGTTGCTTTATTCCTTACGATGTTTGCTTCTTCATCGGCTTTGTTCTTGAATATTCACTTTGTGTCAATGACATTCTGGTGCTTTGACCTAGGAACAAGTTCTCAAACTCTATTCCTTTTAAACTGGGTCTATTCTCTTGTATTGCATTGATCTAATTTGAATCCATTAAGGCACCTTCAACTGTTGTGAGGTTTATCTCAAGGTTTTTCTTGAAAGACCTTTAGATGATCTTTGTCATTGTTCAATGTGTAACACTTGCATCCGAAGATTTGAAAATATTTTAGATTTGGCTTTCTCGCTTTCCACAGTTAATAGGGAGTTTTCTGATGAACCTTGTGAATGATGCTTCTATTTTGAGTGTAGCAGGCAATAATGATTGCTTCTGCTCAGTACCTGATAGGCAATCCAGATTCTGGAATCATGGTTCTGGCAGCTTTCTTGAGAGTTATTTTTCCTACAATACCATTCTGTTGAGGAGTCCTTGATGCAGATAGCTAATGTTGAGTGTCATTTTGTTCACAACATTAATTGATTATCTAGTTGACAAATTATCATCCTTTGTCTAATCTGATCTTCTTGACTTTCAAATTCTGCTTATTGTGTAGCAGCTTTAATAGAGATGGCACTTTTTTCAGAGTTTCATTTTTTCTTCAAAAATATTGTTCATGTAAATCTGGAATAATCATCAACCATGACTAATGTGTATCTTTTTCACTGACACTTGGAGTCTCAACTGGTCCAATTAAATCCATGTGGATTAGATTGAAATGTCTGGTGGAAAGATCTTCGACAAATAGTTTGAAAAAGTTTTTGACTTGTTTTCCTTTCTAGAATGCACTGGATGGATTCTCCTCATTGTGGACAATATATGGCAGTCCATCAATGATGTGTTCTCTGGCAAGTTTGTTTATTGTCTTGAAATTCATATGGCTTAGCTTCTTGGTTCAATCTCAACACTGTTTTGAATCTATGTATTTTGAATCTCTTTTGGCTATTAGGCATACACGGATACACCATTTTTTGTTGTGGTCCAACCAACAACATAGATATTTATTTTTCTTTTGGCGGTTAGAACCACTTTTCTAGTTGTCTCATTCTTAACATAGCAGATTTCTAGAATATTCTATTGTATAACCTGTGTTACAGAATTGGCTAGTACCCAATAGGTTGAAGTTCAATCATTTGACATATGAGACTTCATTAATGCATATCCCATTTATGACTATTTTCCCTCCTTTTGTTTGTCTTTCCTTGTTTTGTCCACAAAAGACAACTTTGAGACCATTGATTTTTTGGAAATCTGTTAGGCAACTCTTATCACATGTCATGTGTTTGGAGCATCCACAATCTATACACCATTCTTGATAAAAAAAATGGATCCAACACAAGTTAATGCACATTTAAAAGAGAGATTTAGATAACCAACCAATATTGGATCCTAAAGGGCTATGCAATCTGGGGAGCCAGTACCATTTTAGTCTCATCGGAGATGAGTACTTAGTGATTCACTGATTGGTACCCGTTGTCCACCAGATAATCATAGTAAACCGAAATGTGATTGACATTGGACAGATGCTTGTGAAGATCGTGCTTCTTGTTTACCTACTTCTACATAGCCTTTTTAGTTAGGAAGAAGTCTCAAACATTATCAAGAGATGACCGGTGGTTAACTTTATGTTTTGTGGGTTGTTCAGACTTCCCCTTGTGACCTATTACAACACCATCGGCGGTGACAATAGAAGTGGACTCAGGTCGGGCCAACCGGCCCAGAACCGGACCGGCCCGCTACTGTGCGGGCCCGGACCGGTCCGGTGAACCGGTTGGTGCCCGGTTCGGGCCACCTGGCCCGGTGAGGTAGGTGGGCCAGGCCCGGGCCTCCTAAATCATGAACCAGCCCGGCCGATTCGTGCCCGGTCCGGGCCAAATTATTTTTTTTCTTTTTTTCTTTAATTTTTTTTTAAGTTTTTGGGTTGGGCTGGGTATGATGGGCCATTTGAGGTGGTTTGGGGTGGTTTGGGGGTGAGGGGGGAGGGTTGGGGGTTAATTAGGAAAAGCCAAAATATATATATATATAAGAACCGAGGCCCGAACCGGCCCGAACCCGAGGTTACCCAGGCCGGTTCCGTGCTTCCCATTTCATGAACCGAGACCCGGCCGGGCCCGAACCGGAACCGGTCCAACCCTAGGTGACAACAATAATAACAACAACGATAACAACAATAATGAATTTTGTGATTGTAATAATAGTAATAATTATGTCAATAATGTTTCACTTAATGTCTTGAAGTACAAACTATGGGATAGTATTTAAAATCAACTATTTCCAATTGACCTTGTTGGTGATATTATAAAAGATTCAATATTTAGTATTGGAGACCCAATCTCATTACTTGTATATCCAAGTCAATCTTACTAGAATCGATACAAATCGTACTAGAACAAATACATAGCTTTCCTACAAGGCTACAAGAATACATAAAAATTGAGGAACCAAACCATCAGAATCGGTAAGGGAATCGGTGCAACAACTGATCGGTTAACTGTAACCGGCCAAGTATCGGCCGACCCTAGGTGCGGTCCTGCCCCCTCCCCAAAACTATGCAATGGCCAGTCCGGGAACCGTAATCAGCACGCCCCATGCCAAAGGTATCAAGGCACCGAGGAGTTGCCTATCTTGAGAGCCAAGCGAGTGGCAAACAATTAATTCATTAGTTAATAGGCTAAACTGCAAAATTACCCTGTTTTTGATTTATTTGCATTGTGAAATGAGTGCCGTGTTGAGAGTGGGATAACAATCTGAAGTGAATTTTGCAAAAACCCTTTGTCATACAAGTTGGTTTTCACAACCTCAGCTTCCTCTAGATGAGATCTGCCACACAGGGCCTTCCATTTGTTTGTTTGCTGCTTTTTTTCATGGCCTATTTCATTCACGCTTGCTCTTAGAGCCAAAGCATTCGCTTTCGCTTCCTTCACCTTCCTTTGCCAGCCCAAGTAATCTTGCCATTTTAAAGTCTGCACTTTCACACATATAATATTATCAAACTACAAATTTGATGTAAATATAACATTTTCAAGTTGCATTCAAAAATATTTGACTCAATCTTCCCGGCATACCTTCAGTGTTTGTCCAAGGTTTGTATATTATCTTTCTTATTTTCTTATGTTATTTTTATCTTTTATTTTTCTTATATTCTTTTATTGTATATTTATCTTTATCTTATCCTTTGTATCTTACCTTATCTTTTTACTTTTATTATTTTTCTTTTCTTTTTGGCTCCAATAGCATGGATTGATTCATGTTAGCCGACCCCAAAATTTTTTGGGAATAAGGCTTGGATGTCTATGTTATTTTATTTAAAGATATGCCAAGACATTATGGTTTCCTCAACAATATTTAAAAGGTAAAAGGATGAAACAGACCCCCAAAACTTTCACGATTCAACAATTAAACACCAATACACCAAGACCCTCCGACTCCACATCCCAACCCATCAAAAAAGAACTATTGAACTCCCACTGCCAAAACTCTCTTAACCCATTCAATAATATAGATAGTCTTTTTAGACGATGGGAGCAATGATAAACCGAAGAAGTAGACTAATCCCATAATTGAAAACAGACCAGATGCAATTAGCGTCTAGTGCTGGCCTTGCGTCTCTGTAAAAAGTGTGCGACTCACCTCATGACTACACTGCGGTGAGCTGATGACTACATGTTATCTCAGGTAAACATGATTCAGTTGCTGTTTTTTTACAAGTTGCAATGTTTAGTTTTAAGGTCAATGTATTACAAGGTCTTATTATTAAATCATGAAAAGTTGGAGGGCGTATAATAATAATCACATGAAGAGTGAAGAATAGAGTGAACCTCATTTGTGGTGGTATTTGTGAGACATAGTTTTGAATGGTATGCGAGGAATCCAGCCAACAGCATAGATACTATAGCCAGGAAAACCATAATAAGTATTTGTGTGTCATACGACCCCATCAGCCACTGTTACATGCATAAATACTACTATTAAAAGAGCATGACTACACAACAACAAAATGTTTGCCGCATCAGAGTAAAAGAGAATAAAAATGGGAGTGGAACTCTGGGGAAGGGGGCAATCTATGTCACCTATCTTTTGCTTTTTGCAAGGATAGATTTGAACCCCAGACCTCCCACTCTCCCAGAGACAAGGGGAACAACTACACCAGTTGCGTCATTCTAGGAGCAACACTAAGAGTTAATACCTTATTTAGTCGACAATCACAGAGGATATAACATCACTTAATAATTGGTCAACAACTTCCTTTTGGACTCAATCTGGCGGTCGACTCCAATTCAGACTAAATTTAACCCTAACACATATTTTAATCTAACTATGAAGATTTTTCCTATTACTAAACTGCATCCAAATTACAGGGTCAAGGACAAACTTTGATTACCAAAAACATTGAGGACCAAATGGAGTGATAGTATACAGTCCAGAAAATAAATTAGGTATCAACTCCAACACTTGTACACTATGATAGTTTCCAGGATTTAAACAACAAAGTGGCTCAAAAAATTTAATTACGAACTGGACCCACAATGCACTTAGTTGAACTTTCAAATTACTACTCCATCCGTCCCATTTTGTAAGATACACTTTACTTTTCGGGTTGTCCCAAAATTAGGAACACTTTCCTAAATTGGACTCCGCTAATTTTTTAATTTCCCACTTTCTCTTTATCTATCATTTCACTCTTTACTTTTTGTGGATCCTTTTTCTCTTTCTTACTTTTTTGGAGTTTAGAATTCTAAAACAACCACTTTATCATTTATTTTTTTAATCCCGCACCAAATCTACATGCATCTTACATTATGGGACGGAGGTATTATTAATTTAAGACTACGGGAATTGGAATAACATTTATAAAAAAGAAAGAAAAAGATACATAGATCACATGACACGTAATCCTAGAGCATATCTGGTTTACCTGTACAACATATGGAGCCAAACTCCTGAATGATCTTTCAATGCCGTAATAGGCTGTAATAACAATGCCACAGATTTTCAGTTTTTGCTATGTTGTACTCGGCAACTAAGTATAATAACATGCTTGGAATAGTCCATTATTAAAATTTACCTGTAAGAATACGTACAACTTGTAGTTCTCTTAACTGACCGGCTAAAACAAGTGCAACGGCAACAGTTCCGTAGATACAAAGTAGTAAATGCCTGAAGAGAGATCAACAATCACACAAAAGATCGTGTCAATGACCAACTCTGCTAAGTCTTAATCCAAATTCAGTTATTCACTCATATGGATCCTATTCTTTCATTCAATGTTACCACATGACAGAATATACAAACTTGAAGTTTCAAATAGTCTTAGATACTATACATTAAAAATAATATGTAACAAAATAAAAATGGTGTAGGTTTTAAGTATTCGGGGTATTTGAGACTATGAGAGCTGAACTTCAGTTTTAAAAAAAGATACACTATTTATGAAAAGTAAAAATGTGACACTTCTGTTTTTCTTCTAAGTTTATTAAGAAATTAACCTAAATTGGAGTAAAACATAGGATGAGTTCCTAAATAGGAGTTTAAGTTGTTTATTCCCTAAATAGGACTCCTTGTCACTAATAATTAAAACCCCTATTCCCTAAATCAATTCACACGCTTCCAGGGAGTTCTTCGCCCACCATTGCGATCAATTCACCCGTGTCTTTATCTTCCTTCTTCGCCGCCCAAATCGATCAAGATACTCATGTCTCCATCTTCTTTCTTCGCCGCCAGGTTGCTCCACAACCGCTGCTACCGCCAGTCACTGCTTCACTTCGCCGGTACGCCCTCACCGTCACCGCATCAGGTTAATCCTTCTTCTTCTTCTTCCTCCTCCTCCTCCTCCTCCTCCTCTTCTTCTTCTTTTACTACTCCTCTTCACTCTCCTTTGTCCTCTGTTTTCATCTTCTTTTGATTTTTTATTTCAATCAATGATTTTGCTTCACTTTTTCAGATTCTAAATTGAACATTTTATGTTTTAGATCTGCAAAATTGGGATACGAAAATGCAAGGCTTCAATGTTTTAGATCCTAACGTTATATATGAATAATGCCATTTATATAAATGTCACTGCCTTTATCAAGAAGACACTACTAGTTATTTTGAAAAGCAATATTTACAGTGTCATGTTCTTGAATCTGAAATGTCATATTGACAAATAATGCCATTTTCATGGTACTAATTTTTATCAAGATAGCAATATCATTTTTTATTTTATAATTTTTCTTCTTTTCAATATGGCATTTTTATTTATCTGTTAATGCCATAATTCAAATGAAAATGCCATTTTTCTTCAACGTAGAAAGTCATAATTGTGCATCTCGAAGTGCCATGAAGTTTTATACCAATTTTTTTAGTTTGGCACTATGTGTCCTTTTTGTTTTTATTTAGATGGCAATATTAAAATTGTAGTGTAATTAGTTTTGTACTCTGTATTTTATTGTTAGAATGAATGTGTAATGGTTTTGATTGTATTTGGATTTCACTGGACTTCTAGTTGAATTGCTGAAGGAAACCCATCAGATTGTAATTGGATTTCATTGGATTTCATCATACTTCTAGTTGAATCGCTAAAGGAGATTGATGGCAAAGGTGGTCTTGCCGGAGGATATGGCGTCACCGCCATTCTCGCCGGAGGACATGACGGCGGTGGCGGTCCCGCTGTGGGATATAGCGGCGGCAGGGGTCGTGCTGTGTCACTGGCGTTGCGCAAGGTGAGATGTCGATTGAGGCATCCGGAGACTTTTGATTTAATCTGTATACAGAGTATTTTATTAAATGTTTCATCAAGGGCAATTCAGTCAAGTGAGGTCTTTTTTACTCCTATCAAACGTTCAACTCCTATTGTTGCATAAGTTCATTGTTTTACTCCTATTCAAGGAATTAACCCAAGTTTATTTAGGATGATTTAAGAAATGCTCAATTACAAGATAATCTTCTAAATACTCAATATAAGCTTCAATATACAGCACACTAATATAGAGCATCTATTCAATATATCATCCCTAAATTCCTAATAATTCAAAGGAGCCTGTGTGGTACCATTCTAATGCACCTACACCACCGAATGTGGAAACTGAGTCATCAGTTATATCAGTCTACGCGGTCCCCGTGACTTTAATAGAACCACTTGTTTTTATTTCCACATTTGTTAGTGTAATAGTGTGGTCACATTAAAGTGTGCCCACACAGGGGGCTTAAAAGGACTCTTTCATGCCACAACTTATGATGATTTTCATTTTATCTCCATCCTAATTATGTCCAAGATAAGGATAAAATATTTCCTAAAACAAGTTACACTCATGCAAATTCAATGTCATGCTGTCACCAAATACGCTAAGCAAATTGTGTGGATAATGTATTGAATTTTTTCCATAGCAACTGGTTCTCACTTAAAAACGATTTCTTGGAAAGTCAAAAAGAATTTTTTAGTTGTGTTAAGCTAAACTTAATTTAAAAAGCGTGCCGGAGGCATGCACCGCAGCTAGGCGATGAGAATTTTGCATTGATTAGTCTCAGGCGCAGTAGATACCAATAGGCGCACCCTATCCCTTGCCTTTTGCTGCTTTCTGCACTTCTGGGAGGCGTCTGCCTTTGGGGTGTCGACTATCTTTCCTAAGAAACATTTGGCAATTCACAAAAAAAAGGATGACACACCATCCCTGAGGACCCCCCAACCCCGACCGGACGGTACGTTGGGAGGATGTAAATTGGACTATAATCCCAATCTGACAGATAGAAAATGGGGCTCTGTCCCTGGTACTTGCAGAGACCCTATGCATTTTTAGCATAGTAACTCCTCATCGCAGTTGTCGGAATTCGAACCCGGGACCTAACCCTTGTGGCACTCCCTTGGTACCAGTTGAGCTACGTCCACCGGTAACATTTGGCAATTCACAATTTCACATACCTAGTTCCAGAAATTTTGTCACCTCTCTTCTAGTCCTCTCTACTCTTTTCTTTTTATATTGCAAATTTTTAAATTTATCAAATAGTTGACCTTTAAATTATTTAAATATATAAACATGTAACAATCTTCCATAAAACCTAATCCCAATTAGAAAGTTTAACAATTTTAAATAATACTACCTCCGTACCCCTAAGATTGGGACAAAATGGAGTGGTGCGGTTATCAAGAAAAGTGGAATTGTGTGATTGAATTGGAAAAAAGTGAATAAAGTAAAAATGAATTGCAACCATCCAAATATTACCAAATATGGTATGAGACAACTTAGTGGAACGGACAGAAATGGTAAAATGGGACAAAGACAGGGGGCGGAGGGAGTAATAAAGATGGTTTCTACAATCAGATTGTTTAAATTTTTTAATTTTAACAATTTAATAAAAAAGGTAATATTAACCGTGTATCATGTGATAGTTTATTATATAGCAGTTATATGTGAGAGTTTATTATTATCAATTTACTATTATTTGTTTAAACTTTACTATTAACAGTTTAATATATAACAAATTGTTAAATAATTACTATTAACTGTGTGTTATTTTATATTTTATTATATAACAGTTATATATGACAGTTTACTATCATGAACAATTGATTGTATAGCAGTTTATCAAAACAATTACTATTAATTTTATAAAACTTACTATTAACAGTTAATTACATAGCAATGTATTATTAGATTACTACGGAGTATTAATTAGTTAGGCAGTAGCCCTCCAATATTCCAATCATAGCATATTGTTTAAATTTTTGCTCCTCCAATATTATTAGAGAAACTTGAATGTTTGTGAGTATAGACATCTCCAATAGTCCATTATGCCTAAAGTTGAGTAGGTAATTTGGCATTTAATATGTTTCTTGCTACTTTTTGAATAAATAGTTTGTTTTTCTTAAGGAGTTAATGTGTTTATTAAGCTTGTTTAATGGCTTAAGGTATTTTTGTGATGTAACAATTTTTCGGATGATGGCTTCATGTAGAAGTAGTATAAATATATTTTACCAAAGTTATATGATTAAGTTCCTTGAGGCGCCCGCCTTCTCCTCGTGCCTCAGGTAAATTGACCCAAAAGCCTCATGCCGCCTCACGCCTTTAAAACTAAGAAGCCAAATAAAATAACAGTTGCAGGAAAAACTAGAGAAACAAAAAGTCTTATATGCATTCAGTGTCAAAATGCCAATTACATTGGTCCTCTTTATTACAACAAACAACGACATCCAAACCAATTACATTGGTCCTCTTTATTAAAGAAGCAAAAAAGAGATTTGACATGTCTCGAAAGGAGGATAAATGTTAGGGAAAAGTACGGATGAGATACTTGTGGTTGGGCCCGTTTTCAGATAGGGTCATGCGTTTCATTTTTTATCAAAGTGGTTCATGTGTTTGAGTTCCGTTATCACAAGAGGGTCACGCCCTTAAAAACGCATGAGAAAGACGGTTAATAGTAACTCTGATTTTCAAACGTGCCTGGAAAATTAAAAGAAAATACCAGAAGGTGCGCCTCGTCAAGATGACCTCCAAACCACCTTCGCTAATATCACTTTTCCGGTGGACTTTCCGGTGACAAGGGTGGCCGGAAACAAAAAAGAAAGATGTCTAGCGGTCGACTTTTTGAGACGCACCTTCCGGTATTTTTCTTTTAATTTTTCGGACACTTTTGAAAATTGGGGTTACTATTAACTGTCTATCTCAGGCGTTTTTAACGGTTTGACCCTCTGATGATAACAGAATTCAAACAAATGAATCACTTTGATAAACAATGAAACACATGACCCTATCTGAAAATGGTCTCAACCACAAGTACCTTTTATGTACTTTTCCCTAAATGTTAATATAAATCTGAACAAATAAATAAGACCAATTATTCGAATTAAATATTATTTACTCACCAAAAAAGAAAAGCCATGAAGTATCTTGTATTTTTCTCACCAATGCAATTATTCTGAGGAGTAAGAAATAAGACATGAATAACGTACAAAATAAAATGAAAAACAATATAGCCAATGGCATGCGTTACAAACCATCCATGCACAATGATGGTCAAACCGAGCAACACAGCGGTCACATATGCTACAGTGCTTTGATCTAGCAGGCCTGAATAAGCAGTGGAGGAATAACCGATCTTAATTACAAGGTTCGATTCAAAAGGTCAACTCATCATGTGATCATCAGTTGGTGAATACAGTATATGCTATAGGCCAAGGTCTGAACTCTGAACGATACGTGAGATTCAAGGAAAACAGAACAAGATGTGCGGTGTTTCTAAAGTTCTGTAAATTCAAGGAGAAACATCACTAGTTACTACTCCCTCCGTCCCATTTTACTTGTCCTACTTTCCTTTTTGGGTTGTCCCAAAATAAGTGTCACATTTCCCTTATTGGAAAGAAATATGTGGTTCACAACATTTCACTTTATTATACTCAAATCTCAACCACAACTTTTACCTTTTCAACCACTTTATTAAAAATTGTGCCAAAACCAAATGAGACACATTAAATGGGACGGAGGTGGTAGTTTGCTTCTGTTCAATTTGTTTATTCCTAAATCAGGTTGATCCTAATACAAAACCACAAAATGCAGACACGTTCCTATAAAAAATTAGTTTCTAATAAATATTCTTCAAAATTCATTTTTGAGTTCAGATGCTTTGAGTTATTTTCAGAGGAAACCACTACTTCCAATGAAAGTGTCAAGATTGTAATCCAAGTTTTTAAAAAATGTGGTTCTAATCCTGAAAGATTCAATTAAATCAGAAGATTTCACAGTTGACTCACAAAACTAAAATTTGAATGGAAATAGAATCCTGATTGGCCAGCAATGCTTCTAAGACTTTGGGGCGGAAAAAAGAACTCACTTTAGGATCTTGCAAGTTGTGCATTCTTTCTCTGAGAAAATGATATTGTCATAAGGATAAGCAGAGAGATACTGAGATACATTATCAGCCTTGACAGTTCCCGGGTCAGAAAAGCTAGATAATAAAAACAGTATAACACCCACAGCAACTGCCAACAAGCTTGTATACCTGCAAAAGCACATAAAGATGATGGAAATTCATACACCCTTACAAATGCATATGCATTCTCAGATAATACACACTCAAAGCGCACCTACGTATATACTTCATTTATAAATACACGCACACACACCTAAATTGATGCATATACTTCAACACGAAAATGAAAAAAAAAACTTCACACTACCTGTGCATTGAACCAAGGTAATAACCAGGAATGTACTGGAATGTGGTCTGTACAATAATATAATAAGTAACTCCAAGTATTGCCATGTATATTAGCTGCATTTGAGAGTTCAAAGATATACCAGATAAGCTCTTTTACCATTCAAAGTAAAATCATAGATAAAAGTTGCATTTCAGATGATGTAAACGAAAACCGAACTCAAAAAGTAAAGAGCACAAGGAATGATTAAAATTTTCACTCAGGAATACGCCATTTTTTCCATCATTTGCAATGGAGCCAAAAGAATCACTATTTTTTGGCTTGGGAATATAATGGAATAAAGTAAAATGACTGACTAAACTGTTTGTGCTTCTTTCTTAAGAAGCAGCAGTCAGCCGATGCAATTTTCGACGCGATTTTCACTATGAGTCATCCGGAAACATTCTTTTTGTGCTTTAGTACAGGGGGCTCCGTGCATCCGATCCCCATTACCGACCGTAGGTGAGAGCCTTTGTGGCACTGGGTGATGATGATGATGAATACTCCAGTTGTGCATTGCATGGTTGAAAGTTGAAACAATAAGTATTAAATTTCTATTTAAAAAGGAACATAGCAAACAAATGTAATTGATGTAAAGACTAATTAATACTCCGGTATAACAACAATACAACAACATTACCCCAGTTTCGCAAAGGCTCCCACCTACGGTAGGGTAAGGGGGTCGGAAATACGCAGTCTTACCCTTGTACTAAAGCACAAAGAGACTGTTTGCGGATGACCCAAGATGAAAAATTGCGTCAAAAATTGCATGGAGTGACTGTTGCTTCATAACAAAGAAGCGCAGACAGTGAAGTGAGCCATTTTGCTTTATTCAATCATATTAAAGTTATACTACCTCCGTCCCTTAAAACTTTGCCGAAGTTGAACGGCACAGAAAATAATAAAGTAAAAACTGTGTGGTTGAGGTTTGTGTAGAGGAGAGAGAAATAACAAAAACCACAAAAATAATTGATTAAAAGGGAAAGTGTAAAAGTTTTTTGGGACGTCCCAAAAAGGAAAGATGTCAAAGTTTTAAGGGACGGAGGGTATATACTCTAGACATTTTATAATTCATTTATTAAGAACTACACCACAACAGTTATGAACAAATTGAGATGACAAAATAATTAATCGGCTTATCAAAGTATGAGATAACAGCCTACGAGCACAAACCAACTACAAATTTTGGAATACTTCTTTGGGTGCATCATTTGTGTTTATTATGAAAAGATTGAGCATAGGTAAACTTATTCACGTAATTTTGTGTGCTTGAGAACACACTTCTCTGTAGTAACTTTATTCATATGAAAAAAAATAAAAAAATAAGAATGAAAATTAGAGGTCATATCCCGTAGAATATGTAAGGATATTATATGAGAATTCTTAACTGATATCACTGGATTCATGGAATAAGCAAAAGGAATTGCAGAATAAGAAACTGTAGTTTTACCATATCCCGAGCAATGAAGAATTAATTGGGTAAATTAGGCAAGAAAATGTGGACCTGTAAAGTAGGGTTAGGACGATCGCAGCAGTAGTACTCAAGGGAGAGGAGGGCTTGGCTGCCTTTGCGGCCACAAATAGCAGCAATTAATCGCCTGATTCAAATTCCGGCGTAGGCAACGAAGCAAAAGCTCAGAAACAAGCTCAAATTCCGGTGTACATGTGTGTGAATGTGTGTCAACAGAAAGAGGGAGAGTCACCGGAGATGATCATATGCTCCAAAAGTGAGGAAGATGTGGATTCGTTGAATAAAAGTGTCGTCGAAGATAGGCCATTGGCCACAGAGGAAAGACACCACCACCAGAAGGGTCACCAGGCCATGGAACAACAGAAGCCACTGCACCTCCATATCTGCAGCCTCTCCCTCGATAAATCTCTTGAAAGATTACTGTTTGACTGAAACCGCAGTTAAGATCTACACGTACTGTTGACGAGTGTTTTTTTCTGAGTGGGGACTTGTGCTCACACGCAAACCAATAAAAAATGGTTCATGTGATTGATATTGAATTGATAAAGTAAGAATAAAGTAAGAACTATTTAGAGCCACACAAATTTTGCAAAATTTGGTATGGGACAATCTTATTGGCACAGATCGATAAGGTAAAACGGAACAATCATAGCGAGACAGGGGTAGTAACATTCACGTCCTCCACTTTTTCAAACTTTGTCAAGTTTGACCGGCACGGAGATTATCAAGATCACGTGAAGGAGTGATCTTGATAATCTTTTTCTCTCATCTTTTTTTTTCCCTAGTTTTTTTATCCTTATATATATAAGCATTATTTGCGGCCTTTTTATTTTATCATTTTTATATATATTCATCTTTTTTTATATTATCTTTTCATAATAGCTTATCTTTTTATCTTTATTCCTTTTTTTCCTTTTGGTTGTGATATCATGTATCGATTCATGTTAGCCGACCCCAATATCTTTTGGGACTAAGGCTTGGATATTGTTGTTTTTGTTGTTGTTGTTAAAAAATGATAATAACTTTTTTATTTTTGATCCCATTTTTATAAAATTTATATCAACATTTTTTATTTTTCATGATCTTTCAAATGAGACCAATATTGCTTATGTAATTTTAAGAAATTATCGAACTATTATATTAATGAGTATTGGATTATAAGGAAAATTGAATCTGTTTGGGAGATGATAGGTTTGTGAAATAGAAGATCGAATCTGTTTGGGAGTGGATCAGTGGCCTCAGTTACATTTGATAATACATTGAGTTACATCTTTTTATGAGCGAGTTACATCTTTTTATAAGCAAGTTACATCTTTTTATAAGCGAGTTACATATATATACACACGAGTTGCATTTGACATGCCTGAACGCGATTTACATATATTTACACGTAAAGTTACATATTTTTACACGTAAAGTTACATATTTATACACGCGAGTTACATATTTATACACACGAGTTGCATTTGACCTGTCTGGACGCGAGTTACATATTTTTTTACGTAAAGTTACATATTGTTATACGTAGAGATACATATTTATACACACGAGTTGCATTTGGCCTGACTGAACGTGAGTTACATATTTTAACACGTAAAGTTACATATTTTACATGCAAATGTTAATATGTTAAAATTACATAGGCAATATTGGTCTCATTTGAAAGATCATGAAAAATAATAAATGTTCATATAAATTTTATAAAAATCGGATCAAAAATAAAAAAGTTATTACCATTTAAAAAAAAGAAAATAATATCCAGTAGGTGCATGGTGCTCACCATGCACCCGTTGCACGGTACACGCACTCATATTTTTGTAATGTTTTTGTAATATAGCGCAACTTCAGGCCCAACGTATTATGCTCCTGCTCTCTAGCCTTTTTTCTCTTTTTTTGCTTCTTAAGTTAGTTAGTCTTGTCATGCCATCTTTCCTTTTTCTTCTTATGTTAGTTAGTCACTCCCAGATAGGCCTGAGCACAGGTAGGGTTCGGGCGGGTTGGGACTGCTGACCCTTAACCCGTTCGGGTTATTTAATTGAAATACTTGGTTTGACCCTATGATTTTTCTAACATTTTTTTTTCGAAATTTTAATTTCGGATAATTTCGGATATCGACTCGGGTTTCGGTTCATTCGAATATAATAAAACACCTTAATAATACCTGTTGAAGTACACATTTCATAACTTAACATAATGTAACATAATAAGTTACAACTTACAATTTAGAAGTTCTACAAAAACATACTCCCTCCGTCCCTTAAAACTTTGTCAAGTTTGACCGGCACGGAGATTAATAAAGTAAAAACTGTGTGGTAGAGATTTGTGTAGAGGAGAGAATTAACGGGAACCACAAATTCTCTACTTAAAAAGGAAAGTGGCAAAGTTAGTAGGACATCAAAAAAGGAAAGTTGACAAAGTTTTAAGGGACGGAGGGAGTATTAACTTAACATTATGTTACTTAATGTAAGATAGCAAAATCAGATACAAGTTCAGTTTTAATAAGAAGTTCTACAAAGTCAGCTTGTACTTTACAAAATCAGCTTGTACTTTAATAAAGGAAGCCCATAAAGACCATAACAACTTCTAAATTCCAAATTTCCAATACATTGAGTCTTTAATCTTGTACATACAAATTAAACAGATAAGTAGTCAGTTAGTCACAAAATATGTGTGAATAAACAAATGCCATACATTATTTTTCACAATTCACAAAGTAGATAAAATTTGGTTCAGATTGCTTGTTTTCCAATTCATAACAGATTAAGGGCATCCAAAAAACTTAGTGCTAGGTTTGAAGCCATCTAAAGATGCACTCTAAAGAGGCCAAATCCAATTTAACACTAGCTAAATTTAATACCAACCTAATCTGATTTCAGTATATGGTGGAAGCTTTCATCACTACCAAAAGGGGAACTAGCAGTTTCACAATTGATAAAGTAGATAAGATTTGGTTCAGATTGCTTCTTTTCCAATTCATAACAGATTAAGGGCATCCAAAATATTTAGTGCAAGGTTTCAAGCCATCTAAAGATACACTCTTAAGAGGCCAAATCCAGTTTAACACTAATTAAATTTAATACCAACCCAATATGATTTCAGTAAATGGTGGAAGCTTTCATCATTACCAAAAGGGGAACTAGCAGTTTAACTGGAAAACACAACAAGAGACGAAGTAAAGGAAGAAGCAGTTGTCTTTGAAAAGATAGGGGCAAATGAATAGCACCAGAAAGGCAAAAACCAAATAGGGGTTGTGGGCACTGGAAAACATCCAACACTTCCAACACCTACTGGACCACTGTTAGTCACCTTGGCAAACCATTAAAAGTTATTGATAAAAAATAAATTGTAAGGTAATAAACAAGTAAATTGTAAACCATTAAGTTCACAGGTGTAGGATACACAGAAGATCCAGAGACATGTGCAGAAGCATTATAAGTCCCATCTATTAACTCTGAAAAAAACCAAAAAAAAAGTCACATTTACACATAAACAATTATAAACATTAATTTAAGAAGTATAAATGAAATTAACCTAACCTGTTTCCAACCTCTCAACTTCATCAATATTTTCCTCAATTGATAGAGGCTGGTTGTGCATTCTCAACCAATCTTGAGTTCAAATTAAGGCTTCCACTGTTTTAGGAGTCAAAGAGCTTCTAAAACGTAACAATCTAAAACCCTACCACTAGTAGTGAAAGTGGATTCAGAAGCAACTGTGGATATGAGAACAACAAGAGTATCTCTAACCATTTAAGAAAGTATAGGGAATCTCTGGCTGTTTAATTTCTACCATCGTAAGATATCAAACTCTTTATCTTCCTCAACTATAGCCTCACTCAAATAAATTTCCAACTCATTTTTTCAAGCCCAATTGTCCACTCTCTTGTTTCTGTTTTTTCAATTGTGTTTTGAATTTGGAGACTGGTCTGGCAGACTCAGATTCACTGATCAGTAAAGTAGCAGGAGTTGAGCTTGATTCTGAGCTTCCACCAACACTTTCTGTGTAACTAGTGACATAATCAGCAAACAAGTCGGCTAGAGCAAGATTGATACTTGCAAAGAATTTCTCACCTATTTTTGAGTATACAAAGCATTGAATTGAAAGAGCGTGTATTCAAACTTGTCCCTGGGGTCTAGAACATTTGCAAAGAATATCAGATAGTTCACCTTTTCAGGATCACCCCAGTACTTATCAAATTTGAATTTCATAGTATTTCCCATGATGCCTGTAGAAGGCTTGTCTGGCTTGATCAAGTGTTGAAGGACTACAAATAGATCAGACACTTCTGAGAAGAAAGTATTAGAAGTAACATACACTGACCCTGATCCTAAGTGTCATTTCATAAAAAATTTGCAAAATTGTAACCATAGACTCACAAGAAATCCAATCCATAACATCTGGAACATCAACACCCAAATCAACAGAATAACTTGATCCATTCTCTTCATAGGCTTCAAACACTTTTTCATTAGATAATGCTGACTTCAGCATTAAGTATGTGGAATTCCACCTAGTTGGAACATCAATGTGTAGTCCACACTTAGCTTCCACCCCAATTAAGTCAAATATATCCTTAAATTTTTGAAGCCTAGCAGGAGAATTTCTAACATACTTAACTGCTTCCCTAACCCTAGACACAACAGTGTCAGATTGCTTTAAGCCATCTTGAACTGCCAAGTTAAGAATGTGGGCAATATGTCTCATGTGGAGATACTTCAGTTTAATAGGAGTAGCACCCCAAGAAGCAAGTTTCTTCTTGAAAAAGTCTACTACAGTATCATTACTGCTTGCATTATCAACAGTGATAGAGAAGATGTTTTTTAGCCCCCACTCTTACAGACAGTTCTCAAGAGCCTTATCAATGTAGTCCCCTTTTTGTGAGGAGTAACTTGGACAAAGGAAATAATCTTTTTTTGAAGCTTCCAGTGGTGTTTTATGTAATGAGCAGTAATACACATGTAGTTGATCCTCTGTACAGAGGTCCATGTGTCAGTAGTAATACTTACCCTTAGTGTTGTCTCTCTGAAAAGCTTTTCCAAATTAATCCTCTCATCTAATTAGATTTGGTAAATGTCCCTGGAAATGGTCCACCTAGATGGGATCTTAAATCTAGGGCAAGCTATAGACATAAACTTTTTAAAACCCCGCCTCTCAACAAACCTAAAAGGAAGCTCATCAATTATATGCATTTCTGTAAAAGCTCTTCTAATTGCAGTTTGGTCAAACACCGAGATTCCTAAAAACCCCACCAGGTTCTTCACTAGGACTAGCAGTAGTCATTGGTTAGAAGGTTAAGAGGGCTTACCTAGTGTCCTTAGAATGAGTGTTTTTCAGACAACTGAGCATGTGGTTTCTTATAGAAGAGGTGTCATGCTTTTTTGAGTGACAACAATATACTCTTTTGTAATATATGTCTCCCTTTAACAAGAACTCCTTTCCCATCATAAATCTTTTCAAAGTGTTGCCATATCTTGGACTTGGATTCAACCAG